GTTCACACTATAGCTTTTCAGACTGTAGATTACCTATTCAAACAATTTGGTGCTGTTCCTCAAGTTTTGAGCTTCACTATCACAGATCGGAAGTTGAGGAAAGGAAAGTCAGAGTAGGTATGAGACAAAGGAATAAAATTCTAGACTTATGAGTCACACTTGCAGGATAATCAAAGATACTTTGCAAACTGGCCATCCAAATATAGAGAGGATTTTACCATAGACTGGAAACATCTACAAAATTGAAACAAGTGCGTGAGTAAATTATTTTCAATTCAGAAGGAGAGCATGCAAAGGGTAAGTGTCACTTGTCCTATGCATGCATACAAAGTTACCATGAATGGGAAATGGTAGGGAAAATGATGGAAAATCATCCTTTCAGAATAAAAAAATGCTAGAGAAGAAGATGATGTCATGCAAAGAAGTGCTGTAAATGTTAGCATGAAAATTGGCTTCATCAGTACACGTGTGATCAACACTGAAAAAACAAAGAAATATCATTCTTACAGGCTAAGAAGAATTTAGTCAAGGTATTTTAGGGAGCCAATGTATGATGGAGGATATTGGCTGATTGATATCTCCACTTCAGGTAGAGGCTAAGTCCAGGATGTGCAGGATAGGGTTGGAGGTAGACTGTGTGAAGACAAGGGAAGGGTGAAAATCAGAAGCAACACTGCAGGGATTTTCTGGATTGAAGTGAGAACAGAAAATAGTACCTAAACAGTCCATTAGAAAAAGGTGACAGAGGGGACCTGAAATGACAGATGCAAAGAGTATGCCACATATTTCAAAAAATGTAGGCAGACAAAGTTTGGAACAACATAGATTCCCATTATATTTGGAAGTAGTAAGTGGAGTGAAGTAATTTGTCAATGTAAGGGTAAGTTCATTCAGGGGAAGGAAGCCAGTTGTGGTTAGGAACTGGATGAATCTCAATTGAGAGCACTCAGACACCATCCTGGAGAAAGATGGAGGTGTAGGGGAGAAAATGGTGTGAAACTGTAACATGCAGGTTGTCAGAAAAGTAGCAATATATTTGGGAAGAGACTGGACAGGGGAGAGGAAAATAAAGTGAACAAGGACAAAATTAGTTTCACGGGACAAGAACAGGCTGTTGGTCAGTCTTGGGACGAACAGCTGGATGTAAATGCAGAGCAAGCACCGGGTTACTATCTGTGGATAATTGTAACGATGCATGGAAACTCTTAGCACATTGTTGAGACTTGTTACATTCTCCAGAAAATAATAACTTTCCTTTCATTACTGCTGCATTCTCATGTGACTTTTTAAAACTTAGATAGTCTGTCTTACAGCCTCATTAGCAAACAAGAAACAGAAAGAAAACATTGGACAAAGCCACCATTTAATACATTTTGGGAAAACTGCAAATCACTTTTTGTGTGACTTGCAATGGTTGGCTAATATCATTGACAGTACTGAAAAGGAATGTCCTGCTCAAAAGTCTTAACCTTCTTCAGGTATGAGGATCACATATGGGGTGGGGGTGGGGGTGGGGGTGGGGGTGGGGGTGGGGGGTGACGGCCTAGTGGTATTATTACTGGATTGTTAATCCAGAGACCCAGACAACATTCTGGGGACCCGGGTTCAAATCCCGCCATGGCAGATGATGGAATTTTAATTCAATAAACATTTGGAATTAATCATCTAATGATGACCGTGAATCCATTGTCGTTTGTCAGAAAAATCCATCTGGTTCACTAATGTCCTGGAGGGAAGAAAACTGCCATCCTTACCTGGTCTGGCCTACACATGACTCCAGACCCACAGCAACGTGGTTGACTTGTAACCACCCTCTGGGCAATTAGAGATGGGCAATAAATGCTGCCTAGCCAGGGACGCCCTCATCCCATGAATGAATAAAACAAAATGTCCGTGCATATAAATATAAAGATATGACTGTTCCTACTATTTAACTAAATTCAACATTCACCTGTATGTTTTTGTTAACTTTCTATTTTTTGATGAAGTTGTAATACTCATTCATCATTCAGAATACAAAAATTCTTTTACATCTAGACCGAGAAGTTAAAAGACCACAGTGTTCCACTCACGGACATCCCAGATGTCCTCCTACTTCAACGACTACACTTGACTACACCTCTTGTCACCCACCTTCCTGAAAGAATGCGATCCCTTACTCCCAATTCCTCCGCCTCTGTTGCATCTGCTCCCAAGACAGAGCATTCCACTCACGGACATCCCAGACGTCCTCCTATTTCAAGGACCGCAATTTCCACCCCCGCCCCCATCTCCATTGATCAAAAACACCCTCAACCGCATCTCTTGTATTTCCTGCACTCTGTCCTCAAAACCCCTCCCTCCAACAAAAATAAAGACAGAGTCCCCTGGTCCTCCCATAGCACCCCACCAAAATCCACATCCGGCACATCATCCTCTGCCATTTCCGCCACCTACAATCTGACCCCATCACCAAAGAGATATTACCCTCCCCACCCCTATCTGCCTTTCATAGGGACCGCTCAGTCTGTGACTCCCTCGTCCGCTCCACACTCCCCACTAACTCCACCACACCCGGCACCTTTCTCTACAACTGCAGGAGGTGCTACACCTGCCCCTACACCTCCCCCTCCTCACCTCCATCTGAGGCCCAAAACAAACTTTCCATATCCGACCGGGGTTCACCTGTACATCCTCCAACCTAGTCTACTGTATCCATTGCTCCTGATGTGGCCCACTCTACATCAGTGAGACCAAGCTTAGACTTTCAGTGACAGATTTGCAGAGTACCTGCACTACATACGCTATGATCAACAACACCTTCCAGTTGCTAACATTTTAACTCCCCCTCCCACTCCCTTGATGTTATGTCCATCCTGGGCCTCCTCAAGTGCCACAATGATGCCACATGCAAACTGGAGAAGCAACACCTCTTATTCCGCCTCGGGAGCCTACAGCCTGATGGCTTACACATAAAATTCACCAGTTTTAAAAACTCCCCACTCCTGGCCTCATCCCATGAGCAACCCTCCCTCTCATTCCCACCTCCTTGACCTGACATAACCTGTCCACCTTCTTCCTCGCCTATCCGCCCTACCCTTTCCACTGACCAATCCCCACTACCCCCTACCTGCATCCACCTATCGCCATCCCACCCATCTTCCCCAGCCACACCCCTTTTTCCTCTATTTCCCAGCTCCTTTCCTCCTCCTCAGTCCTGAAGGAGGGTCTAGGCCCAAAACGTCGACTCTCCTGCCCCTCTGATGCTACCTGACCTGTTGCCTTCCTCCAGCTCCATACTGTATCGACTCTGACACCAGCATCTGTGGTTTTTGTTATCTCCTAGAAGTTACCTACAATTTCTCCTTTGCCTCCAATGAGCTATTAATTAGCACAACCGGGCGACTATAGAGTAGATTGCCCATTGTAGAACACCACTAACATTGATCTTAGCCAGTCATCAGGTGACACAGCAGAGTAGCATGGTGGAGGCAGTCTGATTTCCTAAAACATGACGTCATTGCACAATCCAAGTCACCCTTCAGAAAGAAATCATCTACATAAATTTTATTAAAAATCAGGAAGTACGTGGTGTTGAGAGGATTGACACTTTCCCACTTGTTCAGAATCTATTTACAGTTATTGAAACATCTCACTTTCAAAAAAAAACCCACCAAATCATTGCTCATTTTGGACAATGGAGGCAACCACTAGAATTAGAATATAGTTCAGCATTACCCAA